CTGCCACATAAGGGACAGGAACCTAACAGAGGTACAGCTTCATCCAACCTGTATACTGAGCCAAGGCTTCGAGTTAAAGATAATGGTTTGTTTCCTAATGAGGCAATACTAAAGATGTCTCCATTTGCAGCAATCCCACTGAGTTGCCTCCAAACACTTCATTAACAAAAAGTCTTTTTCTTCTTCAAAAAAAGAAAGAAGTTCCTTGAGAAGGAACAGCATTATTTTAACGAAGGGCAGTTTACCATCACAAGACAAGAACATTCAGGTTGGTATTACTTCGGAGAACAAAGTGTTGGTTGCATTTCAGAAAGGACAGCTCTGTTCTGACTGAGGTTTAGGTAGAAACGTACTGCAGACATTATCAGCAACAGCCAGCAACTCCAGCACAGCTCTCGTCTGCTGTTGTGCCTTTTCAGTGCTGTAAGATTTCAACACGTACAGCAGTCAGCCTGCTGACACCAGACTGCTCAGCAGCTGTCAGAGGAGCCAAGCTCCGGTTCTGCTCCAAAACCAATGAATGCCGTTTTTGAACAGGACGGTCCACCTCTGTCACACGGAAAGACAACAGCCCGCACAGCTGCACAGCCCCACAGCTGTACAGGCTCCCAGGAGGTCCTGTGGGAGGTCCGCATCAGCTCTGCCACACCGACAGGTAGGGATCACATCTCCACTACCTCATGTGCACCTTTCACCTCCGGGACTAGAAAACAGCAGTGAAAACGCATGAAAACACAGCTAGTAAAAACAATCTGGAAAGAACACCAATTCTTCTAGAAGGAATCCTGCACATCTACCGACCAGCACCAACAAAGAACATCGCGATGGCAACAACGTCTGCCTTCCCCAGCGGAGCCGCGGCGCTCAGGACCATCCCGGAGCGCAGAACTTCCCACGGCCGCCGCCTCGCTCAGAAAGCCGCGCCACTGAGCAGGGCCGCCGACACCGCCGGATCCCGCACCAACCGGGCATCCTCCGAAGCCCTCCGTGCGCTCGATCCCCTCCCGCCCCGCGACGCGGCTGGCCCCGAGCCCCAGCCCCGCGCCGACATCCCGGGACGGCGGGGATCGCGGCGCCCCGCACCGGGCGGCGGCACTCCGGGGCCGCAGCGCGGCCCTCCCTCCCCCGCCGCAGCCCTGCCCGGCGGAACGCGCCCCCTGCTGCCTCCCGCACTCATCTCCCGGGCGGGCTGCGGTGCATTTTGGGTGGGGGCTGGTATTTTTCTGCCACGGCCATCCAGCGGGAGCGACAGCGCGGGTGTAACGCGGCGGGGAGGGGGGAGAGCGGAATGGGGGAAAAAAAAAAAAAAAAGGAAAAAGAAAAAGCAAAGAAACGAAAAGAGGGAGGGCTGCATCCGCGCTGCCCTCCCGCCCAGGCTGCGACGCGCGGTGCCGGCCGCGCAGAGCCGCAGAGCCTCGCCGCCCGCCTTTGTCTGAGCGGCGGAACGCGGTCCGGGGCCGCTCCCCTTCCCCGCCCGCGCTGAGCCTGGCCCGGACCCGCATCGCCGCGCGCCGCCCCCGCCGGCCGGGAGCGCGGCGCCGCACGGAGGACGCCGGCGGCGGAACGGCCCCCGCGTCCGACGCGGAGGGCCGGAGCGGAGCCGGACTCCTCGACGCCACCGCTCTCCTCTTCGGAAGGGCCGGGGCGCGGGAGTCGCGGAGGGCGGAGGCTGCCCGGGCCGGAGCGCGGCGCACACCTACCTGAGCGCGGCTCTCCGAGCGGCGGGGGCGGGCGCGGTCCCGGCACCTCCGGCGCGGGGCGAGGGGCGCGGAGCCGCCTCCCGGCGCCGCCCGGATCCCCGTACGGGCGGAGCGGTACGCAGCCGGCGGCGGCGCGGGGGAGACAAAGGGGGCTGGGAGGCAGCGGGGGAGGAGGGGGCGGTGTGCGGCAGGGGACGCTACGGGGAGCGGCGGGGCGGCGGCGGCACTGGGCTCGGTCCCCGGGGCGGGGGGTGCGGGGCCGGGGGGGGGGGGGGGCTCCCTGCAGACAATACAGCCGGGTCCCTCCTGCCCAGAACCTGCCCTGGCCAAGATGGCGGCCGAGAAAGAGCGGAAGTGACGCGAGACTCTCATTAGCATACGGGACTCATTGTCCGGCGGGAGGGGACGGGGCCGCGGCCCGGAGGGGAGGGGTCCCGAGCCCCGCTGCGTTCCCGTCGGGCGACTCCCCATCCCCGCACCGCGGCGCCCGCCCCGACAGCCGTGTGAAGGCGCGCGCGGCCCCGCCGAACCGGCTGGGAAGCGGGCGGGGGGGGGGAGAAAGCGGAGGGCTCTCGCGAGAAGGACGGAGGCGCCGCCGGCGGCGGGATCTACCCCGGCCCCGCTAGGAGGCGCCGCGCCCTGCGGCTGGGAGCGGGAGCCGGCGCCGCCCGGTTATCCCTCCGCCGCCGCCAGCCGGGACTACATCCCGTCCTGGGGCCGCTGCCGCCGTCGGGCGGGCGGCGCGCGCCTGGTGAGCCGCGCGCCCACGTGACCGCGCGCCGCGCACGTGACCTCGGGGCCGTCGGCTCTCCGTCTCGTGCGGCGCCTCAGGGCGCGGCCGGCCGTCCAGCCTCGGGCGTCGCCGCTCCCGAGCTTCGTCGGCACCGCCCAGGGCGGGAGACTTCGAGCGGGGCGAGGTCATCCGAGGCCCCGAAGGTGTTAGGGTGTGAATCGGGGACCGGGTGTGCCAAAGGAGGGCGGAGTTCGGCCCGCGGCCCGTCCTGCTGCGTACCCTCGGGAGCGCGGCCTGGGGCGGCGTGACGGAACTGAGGCGGGGCTGCAGCCCCGCAGCCCGATGGCAGCTGAGGGAAGCGCCGGCCGCTCCGCTCGGTGGAGCGACGTCGGATTTCAGAGCGGTGCCCGGGCGTTACGTGTGCAGCGAGGTCACCGCGGCCTCAGATATCGTAAAGCAGCAAATGGCCCCGCTCCCGCACGGCTCGAGTCCTGCTGGCCCCGTTGCTGCCCTGGTGGCAGTTCACACTAGCAGCTTTCGTGAAGGTTTAGGTGACGTTTTATTTGTCACCATTCCTTAATTTCCAGTTCGACAGTTTGCAAATCACACCTTCATTTCACCATGTGCTCTCGCTGTCTTTGCATCAGTGGCCATAAGAATCAGAAATTGATGGAAAGTCTTTTTTAACAACAGAATGGATGTACACAAAATTTAGCTGTGCTTCAGCAAATTGTGATTTAACACAAGAAAGGTGGGTTTCTGGAGCCCTAGCACCAGAAAAACAAATCCCTGAAGTCTGAAAGATGAATTTCAGAAAACACAGAAGTGCTGTAAGGTGAGAGGAACAAAGTTCCATGGAAAACAAAAATGAAATTAGAAATAGAAGTTAGATTTTATAGATAATTGAGGGGACAGATACAATGTTGAGTTTGTGTGTGACTAGTTGGACATTCAGCAGGGGAAATCAAGAGCTTCTGGACATCTTTTCTCCTCCTCAATTCTGGTAGTAAGTGCTTCAGACTGTCAGCGGAACTTTGTCTCTTGTGCCTGTTCCTTGCTGCTCGCCAGAATGGCCTCGGCTGGCAGCCTGCTGGCTGAAAGCCCTCTGACCACTTCCTCAAGAGCTGACAGCATTCAGGAATTTCCATCTGGAAAAAGCTTCCCAGCCATGTTCTGATGATGGTACCCAGTCCAGAACTAGGGCCAAAACATGTAGAGAAAGCAAACTGGAAAGGGTTGCAGAAACTGGAATTTGGTGCGAGAGGAATTAAGTTGCATATGGATGGGAAGCAAAGCACCAGAATGCAAAAATAGCTGCTCAGTGCACAAGACTGGTGATGCGGGCAGAGTTTCTTAAGGCAGAAAGAAGAGCAGGAGGGAAAAATAATGTAGCAGCAACAGCTTGAGCAAGTGGGAGCCGTTGCCTGTTTTGGCATAAATCCTGTGAGGATGGGACTAAGAAGATTTTGAGGTAAGGATAGGACAATATCTGTTGTAAGGATCCTGAAGTGATGGGCAAGATCTTGCTCTCATTTAATGAGAGTTTTCTGGATGATTTGCACAGTAGCACCATTGTCAACATTTATCAAGTTAAAAAGAAAGATGAGAGTAATACAAAGCTTGTATGAGAAGGTTGATTAGGAAGGTAAAATTCAAGCAGCAGGGAAGAAGGAGAAATAAGCCTTGAGTCAATTTTTCGGCTGTGAGGCTGTAAGTGAGGTGTACAGAATGCAACAAAATGTCATGATAATATTCTTAATATGCATTTTGTGTCATGGAAGTGGGTATTGTTTTTCACAACAGGCTATGACAACCAGTAAAATTGTAGCATTGTAGGAGGCTGAACATTTAACACTAGCAGCAACACAATTAGCATTCCCAAGTTGAATAGGTATGATTGAAGGTGTGCTGTGCTCCTGTTCAGGACAAAATTATGCCCGTATTTACAATTGTATTAGCTTAGCAGCTTAGAGCAAACTAACTCAGCCAACTATCAATGGCTGTAAGCGCCTACCGTAATTAATTATATAATAAATACAATTAAGGTTAATCCTCAGCAGTACTAAGAGCCCACAGTCTCACTGGGATGGAGCCCTCCAGCTCCTTCGTCATTTAAGACACTTCATCATCTGCCAGCCTTCTCAATCTTCTTCCATGAAGACAACTTAGGAAAAATCACCAGGAAGGAGCCAAATTCAGTCTGTATAGAGATGAAAGTAGGGAAGAACTTTGCCTTCACACTGAGCACTCCTTTCCCTCCCCTCCCTTGCCTTTAAGAAAAAAAAAGAAAAAAAAAAAAAAACAAAAAACCCTCATATTGAGAAGCTCTGTGATAAGGGCTGTGTAAGACTGATTTAGTTAGTTGGTTAGGATAACTAGGAAGGAATGTCAATCTCTTAGACCAGTAATAAATTTATCTGTCATAAACAACACTTAAATTTCACTTGGAAGCTGGTCAGTCAAATATGCAGGCCTTTGGAGGTGTTCTGCCACGACAAACCACATTGTTTTTGTGGATATAAGATTGCTACCTTCCATGTTGTCAGCACTTTCAAAATGAGTTCATATTGAGGGTTTTCTTAATGAAAGATGTAAGCTAGAAGTCTAAGTGTACAATTAGACTAATAAATAATTAGACTTCTAACTTCAAAATTTCAATAATTTAGCATTCTCACACAACTTGTCTTTTACTTCTCCTTCATTCAAGCTCTAATACCAAGTAATAAAATTATTTTAACAGGATCAGCCCATCAAAAGTACCACCATATGCCTTCTTTGCAAGAGCAAGCAGAATGGAAAAATGGAGTAGAAATGAGAGCTCTCTGAACACATATAAGCCACAATGTGAACTTCACCAGGTAGTTAGTAAATCTGGTTATTTGTGGATTGTTCTTGCACAGAAGTTGGGGGGTGGAAGGCAGCTGGGCATTCTCTAGCAGCAACTAGGAGCTCAGTCAAGATCTTTCCTGTTCTGGAAGACAAAGGTAGAAGTATCATTTAGTGCTCAGATCTTTCCTTTTCTGAGAGCACATCATTTTAGGAACTAGATAACCATCAGCCTCCTGGAAAACATCAGGTTCTCAGTTGTGTTCACTTGCTCCTAGAGGTGTAGGAAAACAAACCAAACAAAACAAAGAAGGATAAAAAGTGCTGAGGGCCAAACACAAGTCTTTTAAAATGCACCATTATCAATTTCTATTGAACTGCCACTACAGCTAACCTTGCAGGAATAACCTTCCATTTCAGTACCTTGCCTTTTGCTGCTTTGTTGAAATCCCTCTCTCTGGAGCTCAGTTTTCAGGTCTAATTTTGGATTAAAAGTTGCAATTCAGTTTTGTTCTCCCCAGTCCCAATTTACTTCCCTCTGAATAATAACAATCACAATACATAAGATGCTATGCATGGCCACTGTGCCTGAAGAAAAAAGGTGAAATTTGACAGGGTCACAGAGAAGAAAACGACGCTGCAAGAGTTTCTGTGTTTTATAGAAGTTCTGCAATTACCTTTTTTAGTCTTGTCTTCTACAGTGTGACACCTTGGGGTACTGTGTCATAACACATTGATAATGTCTGATAGGCAGCCCTCTTGTCTGTGTATGTTCTGTTCTTATTGATCCTAACGTTAAAATGTGCCTACTGCTCTGAAATGCTAACTGGTGAAAAGCTGTTGCTGAAGTCCAATGTACTGAACTCAGTAGGCAATCTGTCATTTAATTCAGTTGTGCCAAGATCTCAATCTATGCTTACACTAGTCATCTTGATAGACCTTTAGATAAATATTATTGATTAGTCATTGCTGTTTTTTACTGTTGATACACAGAAGGTTGTGCAGCCTTGCAGTTGGCTTTCTACACAGTCCATTGGAAAATCTGTTCTATTGTATTGCCCATACTGGAACTAGGCACATCTTTATTGCAGGCACACATTAGAGATGCACATTTTAAAAACAAACCAAAACCGAAGCCAACTTCCCACTACTTCAGATCAGACAACTCTTCACTCCAATACCCCAGTGAAATAAAATAGCGGTATTATTTTGCTACTGATTTGCAGTTCAGCTGGATACGTTAACCAGGGCTTGGTTGTGAAGAAGTGGTTGTCCCAGCTTTGGGACCACAGTGATGTAGTCAGAAGGATTCAACTTGTCCTCGTGCAATTCATGTGACTGAGACATTCCACATCTCAGGGCATGAGCTTTTGAATGTGTTAAGGGCATGAGGAGACCAGAGCTGCTCACAGCCAGCAGAACACTTGATCAGGTCCATTGACAGTAGGTGATACCGACTTCAGCAGCCCCCAGTCGTGTGTTTCTTTCCAAAGCTTCGGCTTTGGTTTCTACAACAAACATCTTCAATACAAGCTTGCTTAGGTCATTTAGCACAGCTCTGACTAGAGATGAAGATTGAAATGTCCTCACAAACCACCCAGAGTGCAAGCACCTCACACAGGTTAATATAATGAGCTGTGTGAAACACTATGCAAAACTTTGCAACCTGTTCTGTAACATCAAGTCTGTTGGGACTGCATTCTTGAAGTTTGGCACACGCTTTGGCTTCTGTCATGGATTTGAACAACTGAGCCTGGTGTGTGAGTCTGTTCACACATCACAGTGACCCACTAGTCCATAATAACAAGAAGAGGTCTCTTCCCCATAGCCCTGCCTGTTTGCCAAAGGAAGTAATCAGCTTGCTGCTCAGGGGAAAGGATGTATTACTGGTAGAAAATGTGAGTTACCTTCCGCTCCCTCTTCATTGGCATGCCCAACCAAACGCAGCCATGATATGCACAGATTTAAGCCGGGAAGGAAATAAAGCTCCTGTTCTTGCCAAACGATTGAGTGCTAGCAGACACAGATTCTTAAGGAAGTATAACAGAGAAAGTAAAGTACATTAGCAGCACATTGTGCTTTCATAGGAAATGAATATGGATGTAATTAAGAAAAGCTGATTTATGCGGAACTGTAAAACCAGGGACATAGAGTGAAAAGTTTCCTGTAAATGTCAATTCAGAGTTTTGTGGTGGCCAAAAACAAGGCAAGCAGCATATTGCAATGTTACTAAGAAAGGAACTGAAACCTAAAATGCCGCTGTATAAATCCCCAGTACACATTTAAGACACTGCATGGAGTTCTGGGCACTCAACCCCTAACAACAATAGAATTGTAATCTGTTACTAATATTCTGAGTAGGTGGTGGCTTCTGTCTGAGGAACTTAAAAAAAAAAAACCAAACAGGACTGAGTATAATGTGGAGAAAAAGCAGCATCTATAAAATAAAGCACGAGAAAACAGGGAACATCTGATGAACTTACAAGGTGATAAGTTTAAAATAGAGTACTTCACAAAATGCTTGTGCAAATTGCTGAACTCACTGCCACAGGATGCTGCAGCAGACTACAAAGGGATTCAAAAAGCAACCAGACTGATCCACAAACCATGACCATGTCTGGACCTTTGTAACCCTGGCCCTAGAAGACCCTGTACTGCTTAGTGCTGGTATGTTTGGGCAAAGATCATAGTAGCTGTATTTCTTACTGCTTACAGACAGCACAGCTATTCTCACACATCTTGTATTTTAGGAAAATACTTTCTTTCTTGTTTGTTTTATGCCAAGAATTTATATAAGCAGTCTTCCAGTACAAAGAGGCTTGTTTAAAAGAAGCTGAGAACAAATTAAAATAACTCAGAGGGTTTATATTAACAAATACCCCCAAACAGCCTAAGCAGCACTATGTGAGGGCTATTTCAGCCCATTTTGTATTTAAAAGATACTAGCTCTAGTGAAGAAGGACTTCTAATAGAACTCTGACCTCTGGCTACACTTCTACAGTATTTATTTTTTACAAATTTTCAGAGCAGTGCGTGCAGAAGGTCTTGGTTAAAAGCAGTCTTGGAGCTCGTTTTTGAAGTTTTCCTACATAAAGAACACTTACTCGAGTACTGGTGAGGTTCTGAAGCGCTCCAACAGGGAAGATATTAGAATCAGATGTTTTTAGTCACCACAGTGACTGAACATTAACACAACACTATTTTATGATTCCTCCTCATGTGCACAGAGGGCCAAGCACATGAGCAGTGGCTCCTTCTAAGCTCAGGCTTTTTAAATGCACAGAAAGGAAATGTTTGAAAGAACGGAGCTACTCTGCAGCTGGCATTTCAGCAGTGCAATTCTTAATTCTGCTTCTTTCCCCTGGATCCATGTTATCATTCGTCACTTTCAACAGCATTTTCTACCTCTGCACTGACGCCGAGGAAAGCCTGCTGTAGGTTTTCCTTTCTTTATGACTTAATTCTGTTACTTTCAAGCAGTCAGAAACTGCCTGCCAGCCCGTCATGCTTCCAACTTGCACATACCACAAACCACAGAATACACTGTGTATGGTGATCCTAATTTATATGTAAATCATCTTACTTCAAACACCATCTCAAAAGTAGACACAATGACTTTGCAATTAAGGAAATTTACCAGGCATGTACATTCCAATTCACAGCAGTTAGATCACAAAGAACTAATATAGTGGACATCAGTTACACACAAGTCTGAGAAAATATGATCTTGCTCATGAACATGAGGCTCAGCATGTATTCTTGTGAAAATTGGGATGAACTTCTAAAAACTATTTGCAAATTACGAATATGCCACGAATGCTCCAAACAAGGTGTGATTATATTTCATCTATCAGTTGAGATGTCAGTGGGCCTCTACACCCACAAACTGCATGTTACCAGATGGGATTAGCCTGCACCAAATTAAACCACACAGCTGAACAGGACCTGCTCAAAAAGCACAGGCAAATGACAGAACATAGAGCTAAACCTCCATGGAACTGAGTTACAGCCATTCAAAAATCCACAGTTACATTTTTATTTTAAAGCAAAAGAAACAAAATATTTGCCTGGAGTGCTCAGAAAAGGAGAAAAATATCAGAATATGTATAACTTCAGTAAAGAACAAATGAGCATCTCTAATTAAAAAACAGCCCACTAGGCACTAAGTTTCCACTTCAGAGTTTTGTGGCTTTACTTTCAGTCATGGAGTGGTATCTGTTTTTTTTAACTAGTTATCTGAAATAGGATTTTTATCATTTACCTGCAGCCTTGCTACATTTGTTGAATGTTAACAACCACATTTAATATACTACAGGAATGCAAACAGATACAATCTAAATAAGTACAACTGTTAAGAGACGTGCTGGTTCTCCTCTCCCACTGAGTACACATTTCAGAAAACAAAGAACTACCCTTTCCCACCACCAAAAAATCTTGAGGATTTATTTTCATAAATACAAATTTAGAATTTAGAATAATTTAACTTTGTTTATAATTTTGCCCCCTTGTTTTTTTTTAAACTTATTTTTACTTTTGTTCCCAAGATGCGTATTTGATTGCAAGGGCTTCACCACTTCTGATTTCTGACTACATCAAATGGTGAAACACAAACAGGATAACGTTGCTGTATTTCTTTCATCAGCTGTACAGCTGTTACATTGCAAAATGTTATCTGACACAAGAAGAATCTCTCTGATGTCTTTGGTGAGGTGATGTGGATCTTCTACCACCCTAACATGGGTAAGACGTTACACTCTTGTTTTAGATTGTAAAAAAAAAAAAAAAAATAGGACAAAAGAATCATGTATTTCTGGACATGCACACAGAATACAAGAATATTCCAGAATGATTCTTTCTTACCCAAAGAAAATTCCATCCTTCCAGCTTTGAAATAAGTTTTCAAAGACCACTGTATTTATCTGTATTTCTTGGACAACACGAGTTGTCATCAATTTCAGAAAAGCACGATTGCTCAACTCTAAGAACCACAGATGTCCATGTTGAGGAAAGAAAGCCAACTCACTGTTATATATTGAAAATACTATCTGCAGAACACAGAACAAAGATAAGAAATCTCTATGTTTATGACTCTGCATGTCTTTAGTTCAAAAGTCATCTTTAAACTTCTGCTGAATAATGATTCATTTCTAAATGCAAAAGATCATTCAGCTGTTTGTGTTCTCTATTAAGATATTATTTATACAAAAGTAGTATAGGGTATATGCCTTTATTTTGACTAGTTTCACATAGTTTATTTTGAAAGGTGCATTTTGCAATACAGTCCATTTAGTTAGTTATTCTTGGTTCGTTTAACTGTTAGTTTATAGCAGGTCTTCAGGTCACCAGGGAAGTTATCAAACTCCTGCTGCTATATGCTAGGAACCATAGCGATGGCAGAAAGCGTTTTTCTAAAGAAAGGAATTTAGGAGCAAATCCTATGTGGTAGCAAACAACGTCAAGAGTCCCTTTAAGAAGGAGACTATTTCATTGCCTCCGAGTTTAGATTCTCCATAGACACGGTCAACAAACGAAATGGGAACCTGTGGAAAAAAAGCAATATTATTTTTAAGGTTCAAAACATATATAATGAGAAATTCTGCAATACAAAACGAAACCAAACCATGGACTTCAAGCTACAGCATGCTTCTACAGGTGAGGCACGAAAGCACCAGACTGGCTTCCTGCATCTCAGTCCTTATCAGGGCTTTAGCGATGGCCTGTAGCTGGGCAGCATGAACATGTTAAGTTTCCCACCTTCAAAGCTGATCCAAGGACAATACCCAGTGGGTGGATGACACAGTAGGCAGAACAAACCTAACAGCACAAGCGCACTACAATCCTAGAGGCTCAGAATCAATCTTCATTGCTTCCCCTGTTAGGTAAATTCAATATCTTTTAAGTCAGCGCCTCTATTAGAGAAATATCCCCTGCTGCCCTGAAACAGCATTCTGATCAGCTTTGCCACCGGCTAGAAGGTGATGCCTGAATATGGCAGCTGTGGGTAGGACTCGTCTGTAAGAATATGCACTTTGCCTGCCTTTGGCCATTTTATAGATTTATAGGATTTTTTAAAAAAAGTCACCTTAAAAACTCATTTTCTTTTCATTAAGTGATTAACTCACTATCCATACAGTGTTAGGAACATACATGCCAGGAAATACTTTATCAGTAGAACTGGATGATGATGGAAAATGATCCTGCCCCAGGAAGTTAGAATATAGAGATGATAAACAAGAGTTTAAAAAAAACCCAAAATAATACAACAATCTTACTTATCAGTCTGTGGTAGCAATGTGAACTCTGTTGAGTTTGTTACAGATATCAGAAAGTCTTAAAGTTGAAACAAAATAATGAAGCAACTCTTCAGGTATCAGATCTCTTCCCACACGTGAGAAGCCAAAGGAGGGAGGCTGCTTCCTTGGGAACGTAACAGGAATTGTTGAGGGCAGCACAACTCTCCCATTACAAAACAGAGCCTATGTCCCAACACTGCCTCAGAGATACAAGGCTTACTGCAGACAGGCAGTCTGTCAGGCTTTGAACCTGGAGACAAGCAGTTTACATTTGATGCTTTGCAACCAGCAGGCATGCAAATCAATGAGGGGTGAACTCAAACAGTAGGCAGAAGAAAGGTCTCTGCAGCAGCACACAGAAGAGACAGAAGCAAGCCAAGATAGCTTTTCTTTTTTTAAACTAAAGAAGTGTATTTTAGTGTTTTCAAAATGTATAGTAAGAACTTTTCTCATCCTGCATTTCAGTACCAGATGTATAGACAGACAAGTATTTCATTCAGCAACATTAAAAAGCAAAATGTGAATGCAGCTGGATACAAAAACCAAAGAAATTCAAGGTCAAACCCATGCTACAGTCAGCATGGCATTGGCACTCCATGAGTGAGAAAAGAGAAAGAGTCTCCTATATTGTGTAAAAATACCCAATGTTCATACAGAAATGCAGTACACAAGATTTAGAAAGTACCAGAACTGTTCTCCAACAGTTCATGGTCATGAAAATGCTGATGAATTGTTTTTGAGATCTGCCTGCAAAGAGAATTTCAGTGAATTCAGACACTATCAAGAGCAATTCAGTGAAATATAAGAGGCAGCAATAAGACTGCTGGGAATATAGGATATAAGTGTTGGGTTTTTTTAAATGACAGTTGACAGCACATCAAAAAAGTTTACAAGTGGAAAGTTGCAAGAGCTGGAAAAGAACATGAATGACAGAGGACAATAAATCTGAAACAGAATCAGGTTGCTGGAGAAAATGAAATATTTTGAGACAACCGAGCTAGAAGTGTCTCTCCACAATAAAGAGGAGGCTAAATGCAGGTTTACTGGTGCATTTGGAATTTCTCTCTGCTTTGAAGAACCCGATAAAATAACACACTTAAAGAAATGGCAACAGGAAAAGGGAAGGTCCTGTCAGACAAGGGAATAAGTGAGTGGAATTTCATATGTGGCAATCATCTGGAAAAGATGGAAAACCTGTGTAACTTCATAGTAATTTGATAACCTTGCATATTCTTGGAGGTGCTCAGAATTTGCTACTCTTCTAGTAATCATAGAGAGCTTTGGGCTGGAAGAGACCTTTAGGATCACCTAGTTCTGGGGACACCTCCCTCCAGACCAGGTTACTCACAGCCCCATCCAGCCTGGCCTTGAATGCTTCCAGGGAGAGGGAATCAACAACCTCATTGGGCAACCTGTTCCAGTGTCTCCCATCCTCACAGTGAAGAACTTCTTCCTAATGTTCAGTCTAAATCTCCCTTTCTTCCAGTTAAAAGCCATTTCCCCTCCTCCTGTCACTACCTGCCCTTCTAAAGGGCATCCCCAGCTTTCCTTCAGGTCCCCCTCGGTCCTGGAAGGCCACTATAAGGTCCCCTCAAAGCCTTCTCATCTCCAGGCTGAAGAGCCCCAGTTCTCTCAGCCTGTCATAAGCTGTAACTGCATTTAAATGAAAGCACAACACACTTATCAGAAGTTTTACTATACCTCTCCGATCGTATATCCTAGCTGTCTGGCCCGAACAATCATTTCCATCTGGAAGACGTAGCCTTTAGAAACACATTTTTCCATTAATTTCTGTAAGACTTCTTTTCTGTATAACCTGAAAGCAATTACAAAGGAAATGAAACATAGTTTGAACTTCAGAAATCATTACCCTGCATTTATCAATCTTAACAGTAAATCAGTCACTCGTATCATCATTTAAAAAAAGAATTAACAAAATCATTGGAGCAACAGTTCCTGCAATGTAGTCTACTATTTCTTACACCCTTCTCAAACAGATGTCACAGTCTTCAATAAAGAAGGCCTGTTCTTACTCCAGTTCCTATTACAGCAGTTTCTTAATTTCAAAAAGAGTTTATGACTTGCATACCATACCTGAAACTCCCTGTTAAATCTGATGCACCTGGCCTCAGCAAAACCTGAGTTATGAAATTGGCACCACGACTGTGAAAGGAAACAAATGTCAAAACAGCCCATTCACAATTCAGGAAAATCAAGCAGAGTTTCCAGAAAATAAGTTTAAAAATGTACATACATATTGCTTAATATGAAACAATGGTATTTCTAATATGTTTTCATACTAAATTTTATTAATGAATACTTGTCTTAAAGTGAAAGCAACATTAAGTTTTTCAAGTTTAAATGATTAATATTATTGGAAAATTGAAGGAAAAGTGATTTTTAGATTGTTAGAAATTAGGTTTACTGTATGCTTGCTTATAGTAGACTTGTCAGTACAACAACACACTGTATTAAAATACAAAACAAATCTGACAACAGTCATAATTACATTTTATCCTTAACATTCACTGCAAGAGAATGAAGATGTTTCCTGGGTAAACATTACACCCAGATTCAGAAAAGCAAGGTTTCATTTCAGCTTACTCTGCTTTCATAGTATAACGAGGAAGAACTCTCCTTATAAAAAATGTCACAACTTTAGTCATAACTGACTTATGTAGCTCACAGCTACACGCTATCAGATGCACACATGCTTCACACTGTAGAGCATGATGTACAAGGATTACTTGGTAATGTCCACTGTTTTCTCATTTTCTCTTAAGGAAAAAAAAAAAAAAAAAAAAGAGGAGCAGGGGGATGTATGCCTTCTATTTAGATTCACAAAAAGATAAGCAGTTATTCCATTATAGAAGGAGAAATACAGATACTGTCCCTATGTCACCATCTCCAGATTACGCTAACAGCACTCCAGCTCCTAACTCCTTACAGTAACAAGGAAATAGGTGTTAACTTATTCTCTTCAATTGTGTAGAGGAGAAAAGATGCAGAACAAACTAGCTGATTAGCTCCTCAAAACCTGTGAGCTCCTACACAAGGAGATGCCAGCCTCCACCTGCCTGGATGGCCTTGACATAGCTTGCCTCTGGTTTCTGGGTGAAACATTTCCCTAGTGCTCCTTTTTCGCAGTTTTCCAGTAAGGTCCGAGTAATGATTTATTGACATTGATCATGTTAGACAATTCTTAACTTCTGGCAAATCAGAGTATCAACAGAGGGATTTAGAAAAATTTACTGTTAAGAGAAGGGGCCACTGTAGATCTTAATGCTAACTAATCATATCTTGTAAACTTGAAAAGGTGCCATAGTCTCAGCTCATTCTTCAGATGATGAGAGAGAAGTGTCCCAAATCGATACTCTGAATATTTGTAGATTGAATCAGCCAGCTGTTTTGCCATTAACTTACTGCTAAGTTCTTTCCTGATGGTTTTAATTGAAGACAAACTGTGCACATTTCACACCATTTTGCAGTACTCAGTACTATTAAAGACTCAGTTCAACTCACACAGAAATATTGTTTGAGAGCTGTACTTGGAGCTCTTATTAATTTCTAAGTCACAAATTTAGGTGCGAATGTCTAGAAAAAATACTAACCTGATCAATTTTCTTTTCAAATCCCAGCCATATACTCCTCCATTTCCTTTATACCTTGTTCCAGATACAATATCAAAATTGCCTTTTTTCTGCTTTCTGTTAGGAATAGGTTTTTATCAGAGGAGCGGGAAGAACATTTGCATGAAGTTAGTATTTCAAAATAAGAACGGTCACTCAGTATAAAACATACTTACAAACTTTTAAACAAATAGGGAACACAGCAAAACAACAGTTATGACCATTATGCATTTAAAAAATAGTTCTTTATTACAGAACAATTAACTATCTCAAAGTATGTAACAATTTCAAAGACTAGCTTATAAATACAGACATACCTATGCATTTTCAAAGCTAGGATAGTCTTCAGATTTTAAGATCTGATCTAAATATTTAAATTACACAACCCCACAGTAAGGAGAAAAAATAGATCTGGAACTATCCCTAGCACACAGCATGCCTAACTGTAACACTTTCAGCCTCTGGTACTACTTAGCAAGAAAGTTGACAAGTATTTAACTACCCTGAGTCTGTTTACTGTTTCTCATGAGTTGAAGTGTTATAGGCAGAGGAAAGTAAGAGGTAAACAGAAGGAGGGAAGTATTAGACAAGTAAGTGTGAACTTGGTCCTCTGGTCAATATTCCTGCACTCACACAAGGAGATCACTGGCATTAGATGATTCTTTTCATATATATGTATGCATAAATGCAGTTTTCTAAGCTTAACAACCATTACAAGGAAGAAAAGTGATGCACCACATGTTCTCTGTTAGTTTAAACTTCGGAATTTTTAGTCCAGTGGGAAACTTTTTCCTGGATATTTTGGAACAAACCTAGTGATGTCAATCACTTGTATTGGAGGTGTTGCTCTGACCAGTTCTTACTACAGTTAGATAGCTTTCAAATCTTTCTACAAAACAGTAAGCATCTACATGTTTAAACTAGAAGTAGCACCCACCTGATGAACTCTGGAATAAATTTTGGCTGAAATAGAAAGAAAACAGATAAGAGAAAGAAGTTCAGGGGGAGAAATAAGGGAAAATTTTATTATAATAGATTAAAAAGCCTACATGTGAAATACAACTTACATGGTGAGATAGGTCAGCATCCATAATAACAATAAAATTCCCAGTGGCGTGCTTCATTCCATGGATATAGGCAGTGCCTGATGAAAACGGTACAGAAAGAATTTCCTTCTGTATTTTAGCATATGCAATCTTCTAGCCACAGCTTTCTCTTTTTTAAAATTGTTAAGTTTCACCAGAAAATGATAACTAAATACTGCTAAAATGATACGCCGACAGTCAAATGTTAAAGCTGGATTTTTTTCCCCATCACTTCAGCACTAGATTTTCTAAATGTTGGCCTTGTCACACCTTGCACTGGCAATGCATAGAGAAACAAGACTTGATAGGTGGGCTGCTACCCGAAATGACGTATTCAGAAGCGCTACTAGCACTACATATTTATTTACTTACTATAAACTAGAATTAACAAGGACTTACCAAGGCCCAACTTCTTTGGTCTGGGTCTTAGAAGCTGTAAGATACACAAAAACATATCATCTATTAATTGAAGTACACATTTTAATTACTTTTGTGACACCTTTGAATTCTATATTTTTAGGTGTAAAAAATACTTGAGAAACTTGTTTTCCTTCTTAGAAATCTAGTTGGTACATAAAAATAAACTAATCAGGGAAAATACAGGAAAAGCAAACTATTACATGAAACAGGTCATGCCATATTTAGAAATAAACTCCTTACTTTTATTCTCATTTCATCCTATTAAAATAAATTTGAAAGTATCATTCCTGCAATTAAAGGATTCCCTCAAGTTGCACCACGAGGCGTACAGTTAAGAACCCAAACAAAGGCCTTCTGAACACCACTACTTTAAAGGAATTGCTAAGCACCGGAGGAGCGCTGAGCGCGGACAGCCGCGCACCTTCACCGCCCCGCCCGCCAAGCGCCAGCGAGCTGCTGCAGGCGGCGCGCACTGCCGGGGGCTGCCGGTGCTTCCCAGGGAAAGAAAGACAAGAAGTGCGACTCACGATTTTATCCGACCCATAGATCGCCTCCAGCTGCTCGGCAACCTGCTGCGTCCCGTCTGGGCTGCCATCATCTATGACGATAATTTCGAAGTCCGTCCCACTGAAACCAGAAACACTTCGTAAGAGGACTCACAGAGAACCCGATCTCCTCCCCTCCGCCGTTCCGCACGGCGTGAAACAGAACACGAAGAGATTTGCAGACAGCGGCCTACGCTACGGTGCGTACCGCAGCTGCGACGCCGTGCTCGCAGAAGCCGACCAGCCCGGCCGTACCTCTCACGGAACGTGCGCATCAGAAGCCACACGACGAGCGGCAGGTTCTCGCGCTCGTTGTAGGTGGGCAGCAGCACCGAGAACTTATTGCCGCTGCGCGCCGCCATGTCACAGCTCGGCTCCTCCCGGCACCGCGCAGCCAATCAGCGCTCGCGGCGGGGCCGGAAGTCGCCGGCCGGAGGCGGAAACTGGGTCCGCCCGCTCTTCGCCTTAGACATGGCTGGCGGCGCGGAGGCGGTGTGGTTGAGCGTTGAGATCGAGCAGCGGGAGCGGGAGCTGCGTGACTTGCGGGAGCAGTTAGCTGCCGTCCTGGAGGGGGAGCGCGGTGGAGCCGCTGAGCGGGGTGCCGGTGCCGCTGACGCCGCCTTCCTCGCTGAGCTCCCCCCGCTGCCCGCCCGGGCCGCGCTGCTTCCCGCCGATATCCTGCGGTACAGCCGGCAGCTGGTGCTGCCTGAGCTGGGCGTGCGGGGACAGCTGCTGCTGGCCCGCTCGTCCGTGCTCGTGGTGGGCTGCGGCGGCCTGGGTTGCCCCCTCGCCCAGTACCTGGCCGCGGCCGGCGTGGGCCGCCTGGGACTGGTGGATCACGACGTGGTGGAGACGAGCAACTTGCACCGGCAGGTGCTGCACGGGGAGGCCCGCCGGGGGTTCCCCAAGGCCGCGTCTGCCGCGGCGGCCTTGCGGCAGCTCAACTCCACGGTGCAGTACGTGCCCTACTGCGGGGCTCTGAGCCAGCGCAGCGCCTTGCAACTGGTGCGGCAGTACGACGTGGTGGCCGACTGCTCCGACAACGTGCCCACCAGGTACTTGGTGAACGATGCCTGTGTCCTGGCTGGGAAGCCCCTGGTGTCTGGCAGTGCTCTCCGGCTGGAGGGGCAGCTGGTCGTGTACAACTACCAGGGAGGGCCCTGCTATCGCTGCCTTTTTCCCAAGCCACCTCCACCAGAGACAGTGACTAACTGTGCGGATGGGGGAGTGCTGGGTGTTGTGCCGGGCATCGTGGGATGTATTCAGGCCTTGGAAGTGTTGAAGATCATTTCGGGGATGGGATCCTCCTTCAATCAGTTCATGCTGATGTTTGATGCCCAGGAAGGGCGGTTTCGCAACATCAAGTTAAGACCAAAGAGATCAGACTGTGCTGTTTGTGGTGACAATCCATCTGTCACTTGCCTTCAGGATTATGAGGCATTTTGTGGCTCTTCTGCAACAGACAAGTGTAGAACTTTGCATCTGTTGTCCAGTAAAGACAGGATATCTGTCGAGGAATACAAAAAACTGTTGGATGAGCAAATTCCTCATGTATTGCTAGATGTTCGCCCGCAGGTTGAAGTGGATATCTGTCGCCTGGAACATGCTGTCCACATTCCTTTGAGTAAGTTAGAAGAAAAAGATGAAGAATATCTGGAATACCTAGAGAAAAGAATTTGTGAAGAAAAGCAGAGAACTGATGGCCAAACATCTTTTCCTGTGTATGTTGTTTGCAAATTAGGAAATGACTCCCAGAAGGCTGTAAGAATTCTGCAGGAGTTACCTGTCAAAGGATTTGGTCCTCTATCAGCTAAAGATATTAAAGGGGGGCTCATGTCTTGGGCCAGTAGAATTGACCCAACGTTTCCTCAGTACTAAAAATTTAAATGTTAAAAAAAAAAGAATATTAACAGTAAATTCTCTAAAATTTAATTTTCTTTGTGCAACGTCTGTATCACGTGACTCAAATGAGATATAAAGACTACGCTCTTTTTAATAGTATATTTTTAAGTTTATGTATTTTTATAGAGGATTTTTTTTTAATGTAAAAATCTGAAACTATTCATGGAAATTGGAAGAAATAAATTTTTTTGTTCTTATTTAAAGTGAATACTTAGAATGATTGCTTAATTGTGCCTGTGATAATTGATTTTTTTTAACGACTAATGCATTATTTTGTTATAAAGAGCTATGTACGTCTAAGTAGTTCTCATAGATAAACTGAATTAATAAGAAATAGTTTCACAACAGGGAGCTGCCACAGTCCTCATCAGGTATGCATAGCAATTATACTAATACAGATGTAGGTTCTGTTTTCATTTCTGAGGTGAAAAAGAATACTAACATATAATTAATAGTCAAAAAAGCATATTTTAACAAAATAAGTTGTGGAACATCTATATCACCTACTTTACAAAGTGAATGTATCAATCTTTTCACTGATGCTTTTGAGGACAGGATGAAGAAGAAGACTGGTTCTAAATGTGTGCTGCTTCCAGTAAATAGTAATCATGTTTATAGTCTTTTCCTGATTACATTCTTAGGGATGGATTTACACAAACTGTGAAAGAAAAAAGAGCTGACAATAAAGCCTGCTGTTTGGTGTGACTTTGTTGCTGTCCGCCCATCTGTGTGGGCTTGCTGAAGCACTATGCAAATTTTACTGTCTTCAAGGGGTGCTGGACTCTTGGGAGATTATGTGAAAAATCAAGAGTGAGAATCATTATTAAGCTCAAATTAATCTTATTGGAAGCTTACCTTTCGTTCTGGCTTGATTTATTTGTTGAATTCTTCTCAAACACAGCCAACACGTGGTGATTTCTCTTTGCACCAGGAAGTGTCATAGCATGTCTTCAGAAGTTTGAAGAGAAGCAATAAAACTCTCATTTTGTGTTGCTGCCAACACACTGTCTAAATATTGATGCATGTTGTCATCATGAATAAAAATGAGCTGCTTTATTCAGGGAGCTTACAGTGCAGCTGGTCTGATGTCTTACCAGAAGGGGTCAGGGCAGCCAGCGGAGTGTCTTTTTATCTCCCAGTCTTGATGTTGTGAGGCTTCTTTTTGCTTCTTTGATCATATTCTCTTTTAAAGTGGCTTACAGGATTTTGGCACAGGAACTGCAGGAAACAGCTTCCTGTTGGAGGTTTAGAATAATAGACAGTGGCTGCAGCATTTGTTCTTGATTACTGTGTTTGAATGTTTTCCACATGTAGGTCTGCAGGACAGCTTCAGGATTCAGGAATAAACTTAAATACATAAACTTGTTTTCTCTTGAAATGTGGTTACTTTAAGGCACAGCAAACCAATTTGGTCTAGCCTTCATATAAGTCTAAAAAGTATTTAATGCAAAGCATTAATGTGCCTTGATAAACTAAAATCTTTCTTATTTTCTTGGCAGGAAACGTGCCTCAAAACTCCAACAAATTCGACACACCTAATATTGAAATGTGTTATTTCAAACAAAAATTAATGGGACTGTTTGGTAGACAAATCTATAAGGGATGTGTCCAAAGCAAGTTTTTAAAATTCAAGTACTGGAATTTTAGCTGTGTGAGCATCTTCATTACTATCCCGTTTGTAAGCATGATTTTGGGTCAAAATCTAACTTCAGAACAAAACTGTGCACTGGAAGCTTGAAATACTGCAAGCTCGAGTTTCTTTATATATATATATATATATATATATATATATATATATATATATAATATGAAAGCTCTGTGCTGTGCTTCATAAAATTATACCAGAAAAATGAATTCTTAAAGATGTTTGCTAGGTGGCACTGCGAGTTTGTAAACCAAACCATTCCTTAGGCCATAACAGATGCAATTCTACCATAGCAAGAGCTGAGGTGCATATATAAATGTACAGTTCTTTTGAAAACAGACCAGGGAAATAGAATGGCATGAAGCAGGGTAATCAAATCGTACTTACGATATTCCAAGAAAAAAATAACAGCAGTGATCTTTCTGAGGTGCATTTCGAAAGCATCATTTATTTCATAGACTTCACCTGAGCTTTCCACGTACCACATCCAAATCCCCACTAAACAAAGTGGATTCCTCTGGAAAAAAAACTGAGCTTGCGGACCTGATGTGTCAGGACAAGGCTGTGCAAACACCCGTGCCTAGGGCTCAGAAACATTCCTGTGGTAATGAAACTGGACTGTGAACCTTAGCGTTCCATACAGTGCTGTAGGGACAGATTTTTTGATGCCTGTCTTTAGTGTTTAAAATAAAATAAAATAAAATAAATTAAAAAAAAAAATAAAAAGAAAAATCAACAAATCAAACAAAAATCAACAAAAAATAAAAGTCATACAAATTAAAAAATAAACCCTACAGGCATATTTAGTGCAAATGTGTAAACCTACTAGTAGCAAACTGGCATTGTCTGCAGAAATTTCAGATAACAAAAGCAGCAACTGTTGCTGCTTGTAGCTCTCTGAAAGTGCAGTAGCAGAATTGATGGAACAAGTACTGTGAGATACTTGCACTGCTGGTATTTTGTGCAGGTGGCAAAATTGGAGTGAAGAGCAAAAAACAACTTCCATCCCAAATGGCACCTGTCGTGAATGTCATCAAAAAAGGAAAGTAATAAAAATTATCTACTGCAATAAAGCTAGTCTACTGCAATGCAAGTTTTCCAGTCAGAAATACACCCATTTTGTGCCAGGTGCAGGTATCTACTGAAAGCTACAGTCCAGCCACAGCTGTGGCCAGAAAGAAGACATGTTCTGCTGAGGTACAGGAGTGCAGGCCATGATGTGCACGGCTTCCCTGCCTTTCTGCTGCCCATGCATGAGCACTGCTCTCCTCAGGAGCAGCTCAGTTTGAGACTATGAGACCCAGAGCTCCAGTTCTCCGTGTCAAGAAGCAAGAACAACTTGTTTGTTGTTGACT